GGCGGGCGCCGAGGAGACAAAGGAGGCGACGGCTCCCCGGGGCCTGTCACCCGCGGAGGGGGGCCGGGAAAGGGGGTTTGCCCCCACGTCCAGAGGATTTGCAATCCAGGAGACTCCTTTTCCCTCTGCTGTAGCACTGAGTGTGTCAGGAACCCCCTGGGTAACATCCAGATTAAACCACGGGTCTGAAGGGAGGAGGGTTAGTGGGAAAGAGCGAGGGAGCACGAGTGAAATAGTCCAGGAGAAGCTCAGCATGATATGGAAGTAGGGAGGAGGAAGAGGGATGTGCAGCGCCTGGCAGGGGAGGTGCTCCCCCAGGTGCATGGGGACAGGTGAGTGTCCTGGGAGCTATTCCAGGGGGCAATAATTCATATCTAGGGAATCACATGTGTGGGGCGGGTTTTTTTGTGCGTTTTGGCAAGAAAGGACTTATCCTTGGGGAGTTCAGTCTCCCAGGTCAAACTGTTAATGAAGAATATGCTTAGGTTTTTTTTTTTTCTTCCGTTAAGGTCAATGATTACAGGTTTTGAAAGCATGAAGAGGAAGGCGAATCGGCATGCCGTAGTGCCCCAAGGCTTGCTGTTGCAGTGGGTTCCTGTGCTGTGTTTTCTGGTGAAAAACCACTGGCAGTTGGTCTCCCATAGCTTTTTCTTGCAAGAGGTGCTGCCTTCTCCGCAATGGATTTGCTTGGCCTTTGCAGGTTCCCTGACTGCAGGGGAACTGGGCGAGCGTTGGCTTCTCACCTCGACAGTCTCTCGAAGGTGGTTGTTCATGAGAGGTTACAAGTTGAATAGAGGCATTTTGTTGCTCATGAGCAGTCGTTTTCCATGCTGACAGAAAGCTATAGGTAAAATGTAGTAATGTGACAGGGCGATGGAGGCCTCCCTGCAGCAGGAAAAAAAATGTGCTGTGCCGGACGGTGAGCGTGCGAAGCATGTGCGCGTTGGGTGGGCTCCGAAAGGGCTTGCTGTGCTCTTGCGCTCGAGAATGTAGAGCTGCTAAAATGGCTTCTTTCCCCCATCCCCCTTTGGCAATAGTGGGACTATTTTTTTTAATCCACTTTGATTACCATTCTATTGTTCTCAAGGTCCTGTTGGTTTTATTTTTTAAGCAGCTTGCTAAAAAGTGTCTCGTAAAACTTCCTTGTTGCTCCCTAATGTGCAGAAAAAATGTTGAAGAAAGGGATTATTTAGCATTTGCAATTTTCTGCATTGAATTTGTTGCTTAAAGGAGTACTTTAACCTCTGACTTAAAACTATGTATGACAGAATAGCACTGGATTAGTATGTTCCTCTAAGGAAAACTTAGAGCTTTTTGCTAATTGCTAGTATTCATTATAAGTACCTTGTGCATTCTGTAATTCTGTAACATATCTCTCATGATATTTTTCAAAGCAAGTCTAAGAGACTAAAAAATAAAATGTATGAGACAACATAAGAGTAATATATAAATATTCTATACTGATGCTCACCCAGAAATGGAAACGGGTCCTGTAAGAGAAGAGATAGCAAAAAGAACTGGAGAAGAATGGATGTCCCGTCCTACCTTGTCTTGTACTTTGGCTTCGTATAGAAGTTGATAACTCTCTCATTCTTCTGTGGGAGGTAACAGAGTTTCCCCCTGATAACCACCCCAGGAAGGCTGAGTGCAGAGTCCTTTGGCTCTGCACAGATTTGTGCAGTGCGTTCTTGGCTAATGATGTCAACCTGGGCTGCAGGTAGGTGTGTGCTGATTATATGAGTGTCTGCTCAAGGTGGCTTTTAATTGATGTTTGTGTTGTCAAAATTGCGTGGCTGGAGCAGTAATGTCTGATTTTTTTGTTCGTATTTTTATTTTTGAAGATGATGTGCTCTCAGCTTCCTTAGGTTTAATTCGGATCTGAATTTTTTGCCATCTCTGCAAATGAGGCTACCAGGCAGAGCATTTTGACATAGTTTTCCTCCATCAGAACGTTCAGGCTTTAAGATCACTTCTCATGTCTGGAAGCTGCATCAAAGATGAACCTGCTCTTGCATAAAACATTAATTCTCCAAGACTAAAAAATGAATTGCAATGACATGCAAATTACTGGAACCATTCTTATGGCACTAGTAAACTTAAACTGTTAGTACAGTCAGACTGATAAATAGTATATCTGTTGAGGTTCTGTGATAAAGGAAACTCTAATGTCATAGCCTATTAAATATTATGGGAAAAATTTGCCAGCTGGAAATACAGTATTGGAGTAACTTGTTCTTACTCTAGTGCTTAGATTGGTAAGAACACTGTAATTTTATTTTTGTGCTTGGAGATTATGCCAGCTCTCAGTGGCAAGAACTGCCCAGCTGGATATAGAAGATGGGAGGATGTTCCCATATTGATTTTAGTCGCACCAGTAGCAGCACAAGCTGCATCGTGTCCCTGTGGCAGCAATATGGGATGCCGATGAGAGCCGAATTGATGTGGCTGTAGTTTTCCCATCTCCCAGAGGCTGAGGGCTGTTAGTGAAGGGGTCTGGAGCACTCCCTGGAATGTCAGTTATTGCAAACCTGATCCTCAGACACAGACAGCTTGAAGGAGAATAATTGGAGATGTAGCGCTCTTAAAAACGAAATTGAAGGATCTACAAATGCTATTACTCATTTCGATGGCTAGGTGTGGTTGATAGGGGACTGGTTTGAGCACTGAGGTTTAGCTGTGCCGCTGATGTAATGGTCAAATGCTAAACTCTTCTCTCGGGGAGTAACTGCAGAATTATTGGTACTTCCCAGCTGCCAATTCCCCCCTGTGCCCCTCAGCCCCCTGCTTTCATTTGGCTTGCTTTTAGTTTATTACGTTGTTTAATAGTTCTCAATATTAGTCAAAAGTAGATGTTTATTTTAAACACACACACACACACACACTAATTCACACTTTCTTTTTAAGCTGTATGTTTTTTTGTGTCAGTTCAGTGGAGGGATTTGGGATTTGGCTTCAAAAGGGAACTAGACACCTCAAACATGCATATTTCTGCTTTTTAAAATTTCTGAGGCAGTTTTGATCAGCTTGGCAGAGCAGTTTGCTTAGGAGTGGAAATATGTGCATTCAGGGTGTCCGTTTTCTGTTTGAAGCCAAGTCCCAAATCTTTCCCTTAATTTTGAAAAATGTTGTGTCCCTCTTCTATATAATTAGTTGTTGCCTGACCTGAAGGCACAATGACTATACTTTAGCATATAGACCAACTCACTCTTGCAGTTGGAACTCTGGGGAAAGAAATAAATGTGTGTGTA